TGATCAAAAGGAGCACTTGTCTTCCAGGCTGTTCCTAAAATATGTGTGTGCTCCTGAAGCAGACAACACTAGGCCCAGCTTGATCTTGTGCGTCGGGAACCACCTGCTCTCTCCCAGTCCACAGGGCTGACTTTAGGTCACCTTGCCAAGCCCTTAACCTCTTTAAAAGCCACTTCCCTGAAATCCAGGGATCCTGGAATGAAAACGCAGTGCTTCTCATTACCTAGGCACACAGGAGAAAGAAATGAAGTAAAACTGTGAAAGGCTGGCTTTATTGATTACACAGACATGTTCTCCAAGGAAGAGTCTAAAACCGACTGTCACTTCATGAGCATGTGGTGATCCTAAGAACTGAAAGATGAAAGCAAGGCAGAGAAGGTGCCAGAAGCCAAAAGTCCGTAGAGAAAGGAAGGAAAAGCGTCCTTTGTGTCAGGAGGAAGAGAGATGAAGAGTAAGATGATGGAAAGATGAAGACCCTGTAAGAGCAAGAATACAGGAAACTCTGGTTCACATAAATCATCAATATACATATTGGGGTGTGTGTGTGTGTGTGTGTGTGTGTGTGTGTGTGTGCTATATCAACTTTAAAGCAAATACCACATATTCTCCAAAAAAGTTTACTGGGATATTAGCTCATCATGATCTTTTGTGCCTGAGTTCCCACACCAGGCAGAACACTAGGAAAAAACAGATTTTCGGGTTCCCCTCCGAGTAAGTCTGTAAAGTGGAAAATGAGCCGGGAGTCATGAAGAAGCTGGGGTGGGAGGCAAATCAAAGGGGAGGAACCCTGATCCTGTGCCACGCCCATCCTCATCTGGTTGCCACACTCATGGGGAAAACAGTGCTGCCTGCATTCTACCTGAGTCTTGTCCAAACCATAGCATCCAGAACAGCAGGCTAACCCAGTGTGGAGCAGGCCCAGGCAGGCCTCCAGAGAAACTAAGCAGAACTGCCTTTCACAGAAAAGAATTACTTTATTTGTTTTTAATTTCTGAAGGCATACAATGCTTGGGGAAAAGATTAATCTTTGTCAGTACTCAGACTGGGAACAAATAAAGACAGGGACTGGAGAGATGGCTCAGTGGTTAAGAACACTTATTGCTCTTCCAGAGGACCCAGGCTCAGTTCCCAGCACCCACCTCAGACAGCTCACAATTGCCTGTCCCTCCAGCTTTGGAGGATCCCACGCTCTCTCCTGCCCTCATGAGGCACTGCACTCATGTGTACAAACCCGCATGTGTGCATACATACATACACGTGATTAAAAATAAAATTTTTAAAGTAAAGATGAATAGCGCTGTTATATAATATTACAAAACCCTGTGCAATGGACTCTGCCTATGCTCTTTTGTTTGTTTTTAATATGTGTTTGCCTGTGTGCGTTTATGTGTGTCACATGCACGCATGTGACTATCAGGGCCAGAAGACATCAGATCCTCTGGAACTGGAGTAACTGGCAGCTGGGAGTTACCTGATGTAGTGCTGGAAAAAGACAAAGACCCTGAGTCCTTTGCACGCTCTCTCTCTAGCCCCTGCCTGTGCTAGTGAAAATCTACTGAGTAGATTTTCTACTCAGTAGATTTTCCCCTACAAGTACACTTGTTCCACTAGAGGCATTTAACACAGATGGAGGTATCAGTGGGGATGCTGGGGACTAAATAAATGGCACTATGCATGCTAAGTCTACACTGCAACTGAGCATTTTCTAGGGTATTTTACTCATTCACTAACATAATGATTCATTAACATAATGAGTTATTGCCAGTGGTGGTGGTGCACACCTTTAGTCCCAGCACTTGGGAGGCAGAGGCAGGCGGATTTCTGTGAGTTCAAGGCCAGCCTGGTCTGCAGAACTAATTCCAGGACAGCCAGGCCTACAGAGAAACCCTGTCTTGCAACACACACACACACACACACACACACACACACACACACACAACAAATTGTTCATTTCCTCAGATATGATAATGAGTGGTTTTGTAAAGGGCTCCTGCCTTGGAAGTCCACACTGAATTTCTTTCTTTTTTTTAAGTTTATTTATTTGTTATGTATACAGTGTTCCATCTGCATGCATCCCTACAGGCCAGAAGAAGGCACCAGATCTCATTACAGATGGGGAGCCACCGTGTGGCTGCTGGGAATTGAACCCGGGACCTCTGGAAGAGCAGCAGTGCTCTTAACCTCTGAGCCATCTCTCCAGCCCCCACACTGAATTTCATATGTAAAATTACATATCTGAGCAGCTTCGGGCTTTGGTTTTGTTTTTGTTGTGCTAAGAAGCCAATCCCTGACCCTCAAAAGTATTCATTTTTAAATACTCCAGGAAAGGGGCTCTAAATAAAGAGCCTGCTGTGCCTGACAACCTGAGTTCTATCCCCAGGACTCACAAGGTAGAAGGAGGGAGCTAACTCTTGAGTGTTTGTTTGCCTCTGGACTGTACCGGTCTGCTGTGGCACATGGGCACGAATTTGTGTACACACTAAATAAAAATGTAATTAAAAATTTGAATAAATAAACAAATGCTCCAGGAAGGAGGAACAGAAAACACTGAGAAGAGACAGACTGAGACAAAGAGAGACGATAGACAGACTCAGAAAGAAAACATAAATGGCACCAGAATGGCAAATACATTCATTATTGTGGAAATTTTCCAAAATAGGCCACTATTAGCTCTAGGCCATGTGTTCTACATAGTGAGCTCCAGGCCATCCAGAGCTACATAGTGAGACCCTATCCCAGTAAATAATTTATAGATCATTTAAATATAAATAAAGAAAACCTATATTAAAAGACAGCTATAAACCAAGCACGGTGGCACACATCCATACCCCACTACTAGCATGGTAGAGGCAGGATAATCAGGTAGGTCACCCTAAGCCATAACACATTCAAGGCTAATTGAGTCTTTGTCTCAAAAACATCAAAAATAAGGCCAGCAAGATGGCTCAACAGGTAAAGGTGATTGCCACAAAAGCCTGGTGGCTTGAGCTTAATCCTCAGAACCCACATGGTAGAAGGAAAAAACAAATTGCCTTCTGACCTCTTTGAGAATGACAGTGGCACACGCACATACCAAAATAAATAAATAAATAAATAAATATAAACATAAATAAATATATAGAAATTTCTTGAAAATCAAAAACAACTACAAATGATAGCTATGTATGTGTACTATGTAAAAGTGGAATATAGCAACATGACTCTAGAAACAGCTGTGATCTCTAAGGAAAAAGTGATACTTACTTATCTTTTGCATTTGAGACACTTTCGATTATGTGTTTTAAAATACAAATTATTCATAAAAGGCAAAGAATCCAGCAATTTGGGAGCATCAGGTATCATCAGAACTAATCATTAGCTAATTGATCACCAGTAATTGATCATCAGCCACTTCGTACACCAATCTCCTTTAGTATCTTGATCCATTTACATTACAAATTGCCCTGGCATCACTAAAGCAGAAATCCCTAGCCATCTGTCCTGGCCTGTATTCTAGTGTTCCAGGCTGCAGAAGTACCAGGATCTAAAGACTGACATTCTGGGTTCCTGTGTTTTTCCCTTACCCTCTACCTCATGTTTCACTTATTCTGATTAAAACTTTTTACATTTTTGTGTCCCAAGACTCTCTTTGGTACAACTGCTGGGAATTTTCTTCAGTGGGAACTGCAAAGTCACTCTCTATTTGCTTCTCTAGTGGCTTAAATGGAAACTAAGCCCCCTTCAAAGCCCAGATCCAAATGAGGCTTGTCTCATCAACCCAGACACTAGGGATCACTTTGTGTCCTTACAACCTGTTTGTCTTAAGAAAGTCCTGAGGAGCCGAAATAGCTGCTGGCTGACTTTAGGGAGATGTTATTTTTCCTACTTATACTCTGAACACAAAAGTATCTGAAAACATACAGCATTTACTTATAGAAAAAAAAATTAGACCAAACTGAAGCCTATTGGAGTTTTACAATGTACATCCTTTTAAAATATTTTTTTCTGAAATTCTTCTTTTCAATCTCAAATGGAAAATGAAGCAAGCCTGCATAACAAGTACAGGGGCTGGAATGTTATTCTCTGTGTGAAATTTTACAGCAACAATTATTTTTAGTAACATCTGGGCCAAATGTTCTCACCGGACTTGGTTTATTCTGAAGTCAGATACCATGCAACACCAGGATGAAACACAAAAACCGAAGTCCTAGTCTACAAGTGCCTCTAGAATTAGAATTACTGTGCTTTCACACATACCAACCAGGTTGTAGTAAGAAATTTATAATTCAGAGCAATCATAGTCTTTTCTGAGCAAAATAAAATATTTTGTGACTAAAAAACATGAGGAAAATCGATTTTTCAAGTCCACTTGCTCTCTGTTGAGGGTGGTTTAATGTTTCCTTCATTCACTGTTCTATTATGGATGGTTTAATGTCCTATTTGTTATAAAAGCCAATAATATCAAACCCCCAGGGAAAGGCACAAATTACAGCATCAGCACTTCAACACCAAATGGGGACATTCACGTCCAATTTCTACAGCCTATTTTTCTCATAAGCACTTGAGTACCATAATTACACTTATTTTTAAAAACAACATTGGAGAAAAAGCCCAAGGAATTTCATGTGGCTGGACCCTTTCATTTTTCTGATGCAGAGTCTTGCTATGTAGCCAATGCTGGACTTGAACTCAAGATTGTCTCCTTCTGTTTTGTCACATGTCTAATGTCAAGACTATACTTTGTTTATTTGTTTGTGTCTCCTCGTATCCCTGGCTGCCCTGGAACTCACTTTGTAGACCAGGCTGGCCTTGAACTCAGAGATCCACCAACCACTACCTCTCAAGCGCTGGTATTAAAGGCGAGCACCACACCAGACTCCAAGAGTACATTTAAATGTCTAAAACAAGACCCCAATAAAGTATGTCCCAAACATGTGGCCTAAATAGATTTGAAGAAATTTAATTGGAAATAAATAAATAAATAAATAAATAAATAAATAAATAAATAAAAGCGCAAGCAGTATGGTTCAAATCACTTAAGTTTTATTTTCTGTATTCTCTTCAAATGGTAAGGACTCCTGAACTGGATTTTCAGCTCACACATCTCCAGCTGGACTCTCACTGTTGCCGATTTTGTAAACAACCAACATCTTGGCCCAGGTACTCTGGGAAGAGGACAACATTTGGCCCTTCTCTCCAGAAGCCTAGAAAAGCCAAGGGCAAGTAGACAAGGAACTATTTGAGCTCAGGGACACGGGTGACACTGCAAAAGAGGGAAATGTAATAAATATGATATTGCACCTCTTTAGACTTATAGCAATAAATATTTGATCAGCATGTCAGATTACGTTGAGAAGTCTGCACTGTGAGCTAACTTGATGATAAAGCTACCATGTTTCAAGTCAGGCAATAGTGGCTCATGCCTTTAATCCCAGAACTCAGGAGGCAGAGGCAGGCAGATCTGAGTTCAAGGCCAACCTGATCTATAGAGTGAGTTCCAGAAAGCCAGAGCTACACATAGAAACCAGCTGATTCTGCTGTTTTCATTAAGACCATTCCATGCTAAAGAAGGGAAGGAAAAAAGCCAACCTCCCCTTACCAAAAAACCCCACCAAACCATCCTGTGGAGACCCTGTTAGACACATGTAGAGTATAACTAAGAAGCATATTTGCATTTAATAACTTCCCATATATCTTAACAATATCATACTCCAATTTATTAGTAATAAAATCTAATCCAAAAGAAAAACATCTTCTTCTGCAAGTCAACATCTCTTGCACCACACTCAGTAGGCAGAAGCAGGCGGATCTCTATGAGTTCAAGGACAGACTCAGAACAGTCTACAGAGAGAGTTCTAGGACAACCAGGGTTACAGATAGAAACCCTGTCTCAAATCGGGAAAAAAATCTTTTGCACCAAATACCAAATACATGTTACTCATTAAGAGGTCTCCATGGCAACGTTTAACTTTGTGCCTACAACTCTATAGCAATTTATAATTGATAGGAATGGGCCTTAAGAAACAGCCTTAACTGGGTTTGGTGGGGCATGCTTTTAAAAACAAAAAGATCGCTAAATTCAAGGCCAACCTAGTTCACATAGTGAGTTCCACACAGCAGGGCTACATGGAGACACCCTGTCTCAAAAAAGGAAGGAAGGGAGGGAGGGAGGGACACACACATACAGAGAGAGAGAGAGAGAGAGAGAGAGAGAGAGAGAGCTTTTGACTTAGAGGGACCTATGTGGAATGGCTACTGACAGTCATGTGACCAGTCAGATCCATCTATCTATCTATCGTCTGTGAAATGTCCATAAAAACAAAGTGTTAAAACAGGGCCTTGCAACTGAAAGTGTTAGACATCCAACACCTAGCATCAGGAGACACCACCCCAAAATATAGCACTTGACATTTGAGGAAAGCAAAGCTGAAAATGTGTTCTCTGATAACCAGCCCATCTCCCCTCCAGGGAGGTGCTAACGCTATACCTGAAGGAAAGAAACCCTCTTACCTTTGAAGAAACAAATCTTGCTATGCTCCCCAGGCCTACTACCTTCAGCCTACACCTGTGTGTCACCTCTGCTTCTGGGCATCATCAAAGCTCTCTACATCTTTCTACCTCACACACCAAAGTGGGAAAACATGTTTACCTGTTTCTCTGGGTCTTCATTTCTAAAGCTCCTGTGCCATGTAAAACTGTTATTTATAAATTGGGTTGAAGCAGATTCCTTGTTGGTTTATATATTGGTACAGGTGTTTTAGCCATCAACCTGGTAATAAACAGGGAAAATCTTTTCTGCAATCATTTTTACTACCACACTCATGACGCTTCCATGAAGGGGCACTTAGTCCGATGCACAGAGTATAAGTTAGTGGAATAGAACAAAGGAATAAAGGATCTAAATAACATCAACAAAATCAGTACTGGGTCTTCAAGAATGGAATTTTCTTTCCAATGGAGAACAGAGGATACTTCTCTAAATCAATATGCGCAGAAATGTTTTTCTACCCAGGCATCTCAAAGGCCATGTTGTAGTTACATTCTCAAGTGCAAGTATTACACAGGAGTTTGAATGCCTTCTACATAATCAAGACAAAGGACAAAAGTAGACTGAAGACTTATGTCACACCCAAGGTCCAAAAAACAATAGACAGCTTTACAAGGAAGAACTCCATCTAACCAATCAAAACAGTTAAGTGTACATTAAGCTTAAGAAACTGTTAAAAAAAATCAGGACTAATCAAAATAGACTGGAATATATATATAATATGTAATATTATATATATCATAATATATATAATACATATATATATATATAATACATTTTTAAGAAAAAAAAAGGCAATTGTAAGTCCCACTGATGCCAAACATTAATCTCAGATTTCAAGTTGAATCTGGGGAAGTCCCAGCACAGTGAACAGTAGCGTCAGGCTCTTAACATGGGATGCTGCAGACAATGAGCTGATCCATAACTTCAGTCTACTTTAGACACTTGGATGGATGGGCTAAGAGCCCAGTATGCTGTAATAACCCTGCAAAGCTTTTGGCTCTGGCTGTGAACACATTAGCATGAACTTAAATCTGTTTCTTTGTTTGGAACAAGAGATATTTGCTTGCACTTTCTCCCTAAATGGGATTGGGTAAAGAACCTAAGACCTCAAACAGTGAAAGTCACAACTGGTACAGCAGCCATCATAGTTTTAAGTCCCAAATAAAATTTTTGGGGGGAGCAAGGGTGGCCTTAACTGTACTCATTAAAAATAAGCCATCTCTTTATGGGGTGTTTCTGTCCACATTAAGGAATTTATTTCTTGGTTCCCCTCTGCTGTAATCTAAACCTTGCTATATGTTATCATTTGGAAGAGTCCTTAACGATGTCACCATTTAGAAATGTCACACATCCAGCTATTTATTCTGAGCTAGAGAGTGCAGGCTGTTTAGAACAGTGTTCCAATTATTCTTGCTAGGATTACTCAAAGCCACTAGAATGAATTTCTCTCAACATATCACTTAGCTTTATGCCTAGAATGAAAAGAAGTCCCTGACTGTGCCAGTAAAAGCAGGTATTTACAAAACAAACAGATAATCAGAGGATCTCTGCACTAAAACTGAGGTTCCTATAAAGGATAGTTGAACAACATGCAACTTGATTTTGTTGTTTGTTGTGTTTCATACACATAGATGAATTACATGTGACATTGATTCCTATTTATACTGATGGCAAGTCAATAAGTACATTTCACTGGCTAAAATTAGACTGAATAATTAACAGATGGGTTCTAATAGCATTATGGGACACTATTTAGTCTCACTATGTAGCCTGGCTGGCCAGGGACTGACAGTGCAGAACAGGGTGGCCTCAAACTCACAAAGATCCACTTAAAAAGGCCCGTGTCACCACATCTGGATAGTTGTATTACCTTTTAAATGTCATTAAAGATGAGCATGTGGCTCAGTGGTAGAGCACCCACTCAGTATTTATTATGTCTTATGTTCAATCCCCAGCATCAAAGTAAATGAGAGAAATCTATACATGTCATACTTATAAGCAGATATTGCAATGCTGTACATACTTGTTTCATTAGCCAATCAACAAGTATTTTTATCTTCTTGTCCAGTTTAGGCCTAACATGAATTTAAGGAAAGAAAAATTAGTCTGAAACTTTACAGCAAATTAAACATCATTTGACAGATCTGCATTAAACGAAGAATATTGTATGACTCAGAAAACTTAGACAGGAGTCCTTCAAATGTTGGTGAGCGTGGCATTTGCAATAACTGAGAAATGATCCATGAGCTCCTTAATCAGGGTGATCCACATTCCCACAAGCCAGACCAAAGCAGCTTAAAGAGCAGGTATTTACAATCTCATCTCCAGACCAGGTGAGACTTACACCCATGCTACTCTTCTAAGAGAAACAGAACTCTACTTTCTTTCTTCTTTCCTGGTTGGTTGGTTTTGTTTTGTATTTTTGTTTTTCCGAGATAGGGCTTCCCTGTGTAGTCCCGGGTTTCTCTGTGTAGCCCTGGCTGCCCTGGAATTCATTCTGTAGACCAGACTGGCCTCAATCTCAGAAATCCCCTTGCCTCTGCCTCCCATTAAAGATGTGTGCCACCATTATCCAGCTATCCCCATTTTCTTATTAAAGCTTTTGTGATCTTTTCCAAGCAAACATTTAGGAAGGAACATTAAGTTACGATGATTTTTACTATCCTGGTAATTTTAATAAAAAATTATCTAAAAGAGAAAAAGCATTTTGAATAGGGAAATGTTCTCCCCTGAGACTGAGTTGGTGCAGAGCTGCCCTAAACTGTCCTGTGGGTGCCAAGCCTGAGCTGTCACTCATCTTCATCTCACTGAGCGACTCTCCTCCCTATAAATGCTGAAACAACCAACAGCCCTCAGCTCTAGTCTAGCCCTAGTACCTTCTCTGAAAAGTAGAGTGTGGCGTGTGTGGCAGGCCCCTATCTCAACTGTAGTCTACTTAATTTTGCAATAAAGCAGCTGTTAATGAAGCTTACGGGAGGCTGAAAAATTGATACATTTCTTCCATTTTTCATATTAATATTAATTTTGTTTTATTTTTGAAACAGTCTCAATGTACCCCTGCCTGGCCTGAAATTGACCCGGTAGACCAAACTGGCTTTGAATTCAGCTGACTAAGCTGGCCTTGCCTCCCAGATCCTAGGATTCAAGGAGTACACCACCATACCACACTCAGCCACTAAAAAAATTTTTAATTCAAAATTCTAAAATATCCAGAGATGAGCATCACCCTGAGAAACAGTGTGGAATCACATGAGGGTTCCTGATGCACAGGGCATTAATGTGTTCAAGGGTGGCCATCATTTTATCAGGCCCCCATATTCAGAGAGATCATCTTGGCATGGGACCAAAAGAGGGGGTGTGGTTTTCAGCTAGCCTGAGCTGGCTTAGAGACCTTCTTCACATCAGGCTTTCCTAAGTGAAGTAGCTCACAATGACCAGTAGTGGTAGAACCCTATCCTGAATAAATCCACCTTCACTCCATAGCACGGAAGCAGGGGGGAAAAAAATCTTCATTTTATTCTCGATCTTTTTTTTTTTTTTTTCATAAGGCTTACACCTGTGGCACACAAGACTGGGGAGATGAATCCTAGCCCTGTTTCGGCTTCAGCTTATGCAATTCAGGGGGATGAGATGGGAAGTGAGGCCTCCATGTTCACAGCTCGATGGGTGGGGCAAGCTCCTGTCTGTTGTTTGGTGTTCCATGACTTAAACCTCGGATTGTAGAAAGCTGTAGAGGGGAATAGACCACATCTCAACAGACCTTTGCTTCCATTCCAACATCTCTCCCACCCCAAAAGTTTATTTGATTCCTAAATGCTTCTGGAATCAGTCTTTGGCCCCAAAGCCTCAAAGCCTATTGCTTGTGACATGTTATTCCTTTATTTATTTATTTATTTTAAGAGAGAAGGGTACCATTGCTTAAAAACAGAGTCTAATTATTTGTGTATTGTCTTTCAAGGAAGGCGATACCACACAACTAGATCTAAAACTCTATCCAGAGCTCACAGGGAAGGGGGTCTCTGGCCAAAGCAAATAAACAAGCTGTTCTCCTAAAACCCCCACCTTTTGCCTTCCAAGTACACATATTTATTTCCAGCCTGTGAAGGAGGTTGAGTGTAATATGCCGGAAGGAACAGTAAGATGCTATTCCATCTCTGCTCTCATACTCCAGAAAGGCCACACGTAGGATACTGGAGAGCTGAGGATCCAGCCTGAGGCATGAGGTAGCACGGTACTCCTGTCATGGGGGGGGGGGGGGGGACACAAAACAAAACAACAGTGCTTAGAAATCACTTCTCACTGCCGCACCTTACTTGGGCTTTGGAAGCAGGAAAGATAATTTGCTTGCTAGGAAAGAGAGTGAGAACTCCATCATGTTTTCTGCCGCTGTGTTCTGCCAGCCAGTAGTCCCTAATTGCAAAATTTAACCATAAAAAAAAAAAAAAAAAAAACTCTCCAAGCAACCCCACTGTTCACCAAAACTAACCAAGTGTCCTCACTGCCGCTCCACCCTGCTTCTCCCTTTTTCACCTACTCACCCACAGCAAGGAAGGGTGGCAACCACTATATTCCTCTGGCACAAACACAACCTGAATCTTAAGAAGCAGTGATGTTGACGGAGGGAGAGCCCACCCTCTCCGCACCCCTCGCTTGCCACATAGAAAACAAGTCCAACACAGGGTTACAGAATCTGAAATCAATTCACTTTAATCAGGTCTAAAAGAGAAAAAAAAAATGTCCTGAAATTACAGAAACAAAAACAAAAACCAGAAACTGCAAATCAGAAAAAAAAAACACATCACGTGAATAACGAACCAAAATCGGGGCTGGGGACCATCTGCACATGGGGCGCTGCCTTTGACCTCCCTGGATGGCATGTAAAACCATGCTGCCCAGCCCAGATCCCGAGCGCGATTTACAAAGGGCTTCCAACATCCCCCCATCCACACCAACACTTCCTCCCGGCTTCCCAAACGCTCCGAACAAAGACCTTCTTGAAGCACTTACTGGAGCAGCAGCTTCTCTCAGCGATTGCCTGTGACCACGCAGCAGGAGGGCCCGGGCAGGGCGAGTCGGAGTCCCCAGCTTCCCCGCCTGCTGATGTGTGTGAGACAACAGCCCAGGATCCGACTTTCCCATCACAGCCTCAGACTGTAATCCATGTGCTTCCCGCGGGCCAGTCCCTGCTGCCCACAGAGCACCACATGATCTGCTCTGACATCAGATCAGCCCCGAGACAGCCCATCCGCCAGCCCCTTCCACGCTTGTGGGTTGCATCACTCCGGGCCCTGGCTTGCATTGAAGCAGGTGGTACAGAGTCGGGAACTGTTGTTTTCTTACAAAAAAAAAAAAAAATTTTTTTTTTGGTGGCCTGGTTCCTTCTGTTTCTAACAGAAGGGGAAAAGAGGCATCCACTGCAGTTGGATTTGTTCACAGCCTGTATGGTGCAGAAACATGGCAGTAACTGGAGACCCACTCCTGGTTTAGACAAGCAGGGGAATGAGTCAGGAAGCCAGTGCTGTGGGAGTGACCTCATCGGCAAAACCCACTGCCACTGCCCCGACCATCTCCTGCACAGAAGTTTATGCCACAAGATCTGGAGGGGTGTGTGTGTGTGTGTGTGTGTGTGTGAGCATTGCTGTGAGCAAGTCGTCACAGAGTATGGTTCTTGGAAGGTCTTAGGGACATAACCATTAGACTTGTTACAGTGTGAAGTTCTCATCATGAGAGAGCTCACATACAGTCCAACCAAAATTCACTTACAGACCCTGATAGACAAAAGAGCAGGGAGGAAATGAAGATAGCCTATTCCCACGGAATGCATTCATTCAGGAGCCATTTACTTATCACCTGCATCCATCTGACACAAAAAGAGTCAATCGGAATGGCGGGGGGCATAAATATTTCTGTTTCAATTTCTTGGATAAGAAAGTAAGGGGGGAAGTAATGGGGTTTTCAAGGCTCATCCCCCAGCGCTGACATTACAGAGAAGTGCTACCACACCCACAATTTATATGGATGCTGGGGATCAGAACTCCGGGGTTCATACTTCACAGCAACCACTTTCTCATTGAGCCATCTCCCCAGTTCCTCCTCCTTTTTGTTTTGTTTTACAAGACAAGGTTTCTCTGTAACAGCCCTGGCTGTTCTGGAACCCGCTCTGTAGACCAGGCTGGCCTTGAACTCACAGAGATCCGCCTACCTCTGCCAGGGCTGGGATTAAAGGTGTGAGCCACCACCACTCAGCTCCCCAGTCCCATCTTATCTTTGTTCCTTTGAGACAAGGTTTTAGCATGTAGCCCAGGGAGGTCCCTAACTTCCAGCAACCTCCATGCTTAAACCTCCTGGTGTTGGGTTTACAAATATGAGCCACCACCACAAATGTAAGGTTATTAACCAAACTGTGTTTTATCTTAATTTCATTGTAATGAATATAAAACTCAGGAAAATCCAAACTCATTAAGATTTTTAAGGAAGCAAAATCATAGTCGAAACGGACAGCAATAATCAAAATGTAACTCAGCAGGTTACTTCAAAGTTGTTCTTGTTAACCACCACTAGGGGCACAAGGGTGAAAGTCTAACATCACTGCCTTCGTTTCAGCTGTCTGTGTTCTTTAGTTTGGCTGAAGACACAAAGATAATTCATTGTCCTAAAGCCATAGCCACCTTGGATTCCACAGAAAAACCTGACAGGACACACACTCTCCACATGAGGCACATATCCTAGTGAGGCCATACTTTGAGCTCATCTCCTGGCAGCCACCTGCCCCCTCAGGTAATGATGTCTTCAGACCACCTTGTAGGACTCACACTAAGACATTGATGTGTAGGACCACACCCTGACCAGGACTGCATAAGTAAGCCTAGCTCACACTCTTTTAAAACAGTATTAGCATCCTAAAATCGGAGTTGGGGATCATTGGACCCCTTTATCTGTTCTTCCCAATGTGACCACATCAATTAAGTCTCTCCTTGTCAGCTTTTTTCCAGTGTTCCATTATTCCCGTCTTCAACTAAGATGTTCAGAAAGATGGCCAAGCCTCGCCTGTTATGTCTGCTGGAGACCAGGCTTCTCCTTAGCAGAGAAAAGTACCCTTCTCTATTCAACTGCATTACTTCCTATGCAGTTCAGGCATATGTGTGGAAACCATTATAAAGTCATTGAATACCATGCACCCTGGTATCATGTTTAGTGACTTCAACATAACAAATGCTCAATGTATAATAAGAATAAAAGAACTGTAAGAAGACAGTTATCAAAAGGAAAAATACAAATACTCAATAAATACTTTTTTAAAAGATGTCCAACATCCCTATTCATCAGAGAAATGTAAATTAAAACTACTTTGAGACCTCACTGAAATCTTGGTAAATATTTGGTAGTCAAGAAACCTAACAAGAGGCTGGAAGTGGTGGCACATGCCTTTAATCCCAGCACTCAGGAGGCAGAGGCAGGTAGATCTCCAAGTTTGAGACCAGTGTAGTCTAAAGAGCAAGGTTCAGAACTACACAAAGAAACAGTCAGGGCTACACAGAGAAACCCTGTCTTGAACCACACCACCAATAAAGAGAGAGAGATGGGGGAGAAAGGAAGGAAGGGAGAGAGAGAGAGGGAGGGAGGGAAGAAGAAAAGAAAGAAAGAAAGGAAGGAAGGAAGGAAGGAAGGAAGGAAGGAAGGAACCCTATCAACAAATTCTAGTGAGGATGTGGGAAATAGATACCCTTATTAACAGCTTGTCATGGGATAAATGCATACTGAAATTATGAAAATCAGTATGGAAGTTTCTCAAAAAATTAAAAACAACACTACTGTATGACCCAGCTCTACTACTCCTGGGCATATACCCAAAGGACTCCATACCCTCAGAGATGCTGCACCCACAGTTTTTGCTGATTTGTACATAACAAAAGAAATGGAACTAGCCTAGATGTCTGTCAGAGATGAATGGATAATGAAAATGTAACATATATGCACAGTGGGATTTTACTCAGCTGTAAAGAAAACTAAAATTTGTATGGAAATGAATGGATCTGAAGTATTAAGCAAGGAGAGCCAGACTTAGAAACTCAGAAAGATAAATACAATGTGTCCTCTCTCATTATGGAGATCTTAGCCAGCAGCATGTATCTGTCTCTGTGTGTGTGGGTGTGTGTGTAGGTGTGTGTGTGTCTGTGTGTGTGTGTAGGTGTAGGTGTGTGTGTGTAGGTGTAGGTGTGTGTGTGTGTAGGTGTGTGTGTGTAGGTGTAGGTGTGTGTGTGTCTGTGTGTGTGTAGGTGTAGGTGTGTGTGTGTAGGTGTAGGTGTGTGTAGGTGTAGGTGTAGGGGTGTGTGTGTAGGTGTAGGTGTGTGTGTGTAGGCGTATGTGTGTGTGTGTAGGTGTAGGGGTGGGTGGGTGTGTAGGTGTAGGGGTGGGTGTGTGTGTGTGTGTGTGTGTGTGTGTGTAGGTGTAGGTGTGTGTGTGTAGGTGTAGGTGTGTGTGTAGATGTAGGTGTGTGTGTGTAGGCGTATGTGTGTGTGTGTGTGTAGGTGTAGGGGTGGGTGGGTGTGTAGGTGTAGGGGTGTGTGTGTGTGTGTGTGTGTGTGTGTGTGTGGGTGTGTGAAAAGCAAGCCTAGAAAGGAGACCAAGAGAGTGTAAAAATGGGCACTGGAGATGAGGAATGAGCAAGAAGATGCATGGGACAGTGGAAGAGGAAGAGAGAAACTGTGGAGTGATCTCAAGGGAGGACCAAAGGGCAGCAGCAGCAGGCTCTGAGTAAGGTGGCAGGGGAGGAGAGTCTTGGAAACATTCTTGTCAAACTTACTGCACTCATGTCTAATACCTTGTATACTAAATTTAAAACCTTTAAATATCTTTAAATTATAAAAGAATTGAGTGTGACTGTTGTGGTGAGGTGAAATATGTACACAGTCGCTGCCTGGTCCTGGCTTCCCACACTGAGTGCCTCAGTTCTTGCAATTTCCCAGGCAATGAGGTGAAGCAAGCATTTTGTTCTTCATAATAAGCCCCTTTCATACAACCCTGGATACTGTGCTAACGGCATGATGGAGGAGAGGGACAGCCACATACAGCTGCAGGGTGAGAGCTAGCCTCTCTGTCTCCAGGGAGTAGAGAGGCACTGGAGACTGGCTTACTCGTAGATGATGTCATGAGCCTCCTGGAAAGCCTAAGTGGAGGACCTGGTGGCTCATATCCACAATCCCAGCAATGGAAGGCTGAAGCAGAAGTATTGCCAGAGTTTGAAGCCAGCCTGGGCTAAATTGTAAACTCTAAGCAATCCTGGGCTGGAGACCCTTTCTCAAAAAAAAAAAATACCAAATAACTGTAAAGTGCATGGTCAAAGGACTTCTGGGCTGGCAAAAACCTATTCTACAGAGTTCACAAGGGTGCAAGCCTTGCACTGAAGACCCTTCCTAGAGTGGGAGGTGGTGGCGCACAATTTTAATCCCAGAGCCTGAAAGACAGAGGCAGACAGATCTCTGTGAGTTTGAGGCCAACCAGAGGTGTTATACAGAGAAACCCTGTCTCAAAAACATTATAATTAATTTAAAGAGACCCTTCCTAATCTCAAATTACATACTCTTCCTCAAGGTTTTTGTTGGTGACCTTACTAATAGTTTTCTTGTGTCTATAGACATGTTTATATTTGTGCATATGGAAGTCAGGGGTCAATACTGTTTCTCTTACCCAATAGCTTTCTATTTGTTTATGCTTTCTACATTTATTTACTCTGTGTGTGTGTGTGTGTGTGTGTGTGTGTGTGTGTGTGTGTGTGCGTGCAAGCGCTTATGCACGTGCAGGCACGTGCGCACCTGAGCAACTTCCACAGCACCTGAGTAACTGTAAAGGTCAAATAATAATTTACAGGAGTCATTTCTCTCCTTCTATTATGTATCTTCCAGGAACGAAAATTGGGCTTGGTGGCAGGCACTCTTACCCACTGAACCACCTCACTGCCTTACAGTTGGAGACACAGGCTATGACATAGCTTGCCAGGTCAGCTAAACTCACTGAACAGCAAGCCCCAGAGATCCTCCTATCTCTGCTTCCCCCGATGTAGGATTACAGATGTGTTCCTTAAACCAGGTTTTCATGGGGTCCTATGGATGCGAACTCAGGTCCTCATGTTTTACGGGCAAGCACTTTAGTGACTGAGCCAGCTCTCCATCTCCCCTAGTACTCTTTACAATAAGCCAATAATGGTAAGTAAAGTATTTCCTTGGGTTCTGAGAGCTGCTGCAACAAATTAGCAAATGAGGGAGAACCCCAATTTACAGCCAAAGCTCACAGAAGTA